TCTACGCCTGCTGGATGGATCTATCTTCTCCTAAATATTTTATTAATCTGAAAACTGATCCTACAACTAAATTTAAAAATGATGAACACCCTCAGTCCATGATTCCTGGTTTCTTCATCAGTTTCAATGTCAAGGCAGAAGTGTAATAACAGTAATTCACACACTTGAATTTCAGGCTCCAAATTTGTCAAGCCCAGTGCTAACACTATATCTTCACAAGCAGCTTGTGTTCATTATTCCTACAGTTTTGTTAAATTGCAGATTTTTTTTGAAGAGTGCACTTGATGATACTTTATCAAACCAGGAATCCATAAGCCATTTTTTATCCATGTGCAGCAACTAGAGTGTAAAATGTAGCCAAACTTAATAAAGAAACACCTGTATACCAGCTTTAAAAAATTAATAAAAAAAACATAAAACAAATAGTCAGATCACTTAAAGTCACAAAACCAGATAGGGCCTTGTATGAGAGTACTGGTAAAGTAAATAAATCGGAAATCTATTGCATTATCAGATTGATATGTATTGGGTCAATAGATTAGTTTGACAAGGAGATGAGAGAAACAACGCCTAAATGTAGACACTTAGCTAAAGGCCACTTTAAAACCAAACCACACTTCCTTAAAATGTTAAATACTGTAGTGATACAAGAAGTTCATGCTAAAAGGTCACCTACTAAGTGTTGAATTCATAAACGGAATAGTATAGGTTTAACCTGTAGCTGCACAGTAGTCTATTAGTTTTTAGTGTCTATTTAGTTTTATTATATGTTTAAGAAGTACTATTTCTATCTCTTCTAATTATTTATGTCGTCATGTCAGGACTAGTCTGAGTAGTTTAATATACTGTATGGGATTTCAGGTATAAATGTTATTTTCTTGAAAATGTCTCATGTAATAACTTCTGTTCTTTTAAAAAACTTTTATAAAATTGCATAAATTCAGTGTTTTAATTTTACTATCTACAGTGAATACAGCCTTACAATGAATGCACCATAAAGTTTCCAGAGCCCTATTTTTATCCATATTTGGATTTATTCTTTCCAAAAGCAATCATTGCTCCAGTTGCAGAAGCAGATCAGTCATGGAAAGTGAGATTTACTCAGCCTGGGAAAAATCAGCATGAAAGAAGTGATAGTTGTGTCTACAGTCCTGGAGGCGTTTCAATTTAGACTCCAGTCATTTCATGTTTAACCAAACCAAAGCAGAACAGATTCAGTCTGAATCATTACTTTTTGCTTTCTACTGGTCCAAAAACATCACTATAACCCCCAAGGAATGAACATTCACTACACCTCTCTGCAGCATCAAACAACTACCTGAAAGCTAGTTTTGTGGATTTCTGTGAGTGTGTGATTCAGTGCAAGAGTACTAGTGATGTCTTTTGTTGTGTTCTAGAGTCCCCTAACAACAAAGTCTAAATTTGTCTTTAAAGTTGGACTAAGGGATTGTAGTAAACATAGCTAATATATTTTAATAAAAGATGTATTAAAACTCCAGGTATGTGAAATTGAAATACTTTTTAAGGAAGGTCATAAAAAAAAAAACATTTGTGTGTATATATATATATATAAATATACACACTATATGACTATATACATATATATATTTACATTATTGTGTTCTCACTATGGCAAAACTATGAAACACTAAAAGGCAAAAAACTGCCTTTTTTTGTAAGGAACTTGTTTGGGTTTTAAACATTGCAAGATAGACTACTAAATTATTCAGCTTCTCTCTTACTCTAGCTACTACAATATTCTTTATTGCGTATTATAAAAACCGTGTACTTAAAAAGGTATGGTTTAAAACAAGAAGGATTTCAAGATGGCATTAAAGTTTTTGAACATTATCAGTTAAAAAACTTTTGTTTACAATTATTAAATATAGGTTGTATAACATTAGTTCATTTAAACACGAATAAATGTTAGGAAATGGTATATGAATAATGTTTTGCATTCATCCATCCATTTTCCATCACGCTGGTGTCTGTTTGCGGCTGTGAGAGGCAGGGTACACCCTGGACAGGTCGCCAGTCCATCACAGGGCAACTCAGAGACAAACAGGACAAACAACTATTCACACACTAACTCACACCTAAGGAGAATTTAGAGAAGCCAATTTACCTAACAGCCATGTTTTTGGACTGTGGAAGGAAGCCGGAGTACCTGGAGAAAACCCACGCATGCTCAGGAAAAGATGCAAATTCCATGCAGAAAGACTTTAGAAAACTAAATGAGCCATTTAGTACATTTGGCGTATTTAGGACCTTATACAGTACACCTTAAGCCCTGGTGATATTTTTTTAACTGTGTCAATATGAACAAATCGCTTTTTGGGGAAGGTTATTGTTTTATGGTTACTTCACTTCTTTCTCTTTTTAAAAGTTTAGATTTGACACTTAATTCAATCCCCAAATTTACTTTTAATTTTTATGTTGCATTTTAATTGTTTAATATCTCCAAATGACTCAAAGTTCTTTTGAATATTCCTAATGTGTAAAGAAGTATTCCTGGCTGGGATAAAACATTTTTATGCCTAAATACTTCAGATCAGATGTTTATGAAAAACACCTTCAATCCAAAAAGTCAATCCAAATTTATTTCTACATTAAAATAACTTTTTTATTAACAAGGAAAAATAAATAGTACACATGTATCTTATTTTTTTGTCTTGGCTTTGGAACAATGAACCAGCTCTTCATCCTCTGCAGGGTGTTTGAGGCTTAATGGGAATTTGCCCAACCAGCTTACATGTACTCTCTCGACTTGGAGAAGGCTTTCCACTAGGTCCCTTGTCATACTTTGTGGGGTTTGCTTTAGGAGTCAGCCCTCTACTAGGCTAGCTACTCTTTGTATAAGCGGAGCAGGAGCCAGGTGGGCATTGGACAAGTTGGACCTGTTCCCGTGGCATGTTGGATTCTACCAGGGCTGTCCTTTGTCACCGGTCCTTTTCATAACCTTTATGGATATGAGTCTAGACATAGCCAAGGACCAGAGGGGGCCTGGTTAAAGGATCAGTTGATCACATCCCTGCTTTTTGTGGATGACGTGGTTCTGCTGGCTTCCTTATTCCAGGACCTACAGCATGCACTGGGGCGGTTTATAGTTGAGTATGAACCACCTGGCATGGAAAGCACCTCCTCCATGTCAGAGGTCCTGGTTTTCAACTTGAAAAGGCTGGCTTGTTCCCTTCAGGTAAATTCCTCCTTGAGAGAAGGAGTTTAAGTATCTTGGTCCCGTTTATGAGTGAGGAGAGAATGCTGATGCTATACCGGTCTGTCGTGGTTAAGATGGAGATGAGCAAAAAGGCACAGCTCTTGATTAACCCGTCAGTCTATGTTCCTACCCTCACCTATGGTTATACTGTAACATCGGGATCATGACTAAAATACTGAGATTCTGGAAACAATTTGCTGAAATAAGCTTTCTCTGCAGGGAGGCTGACTCTCCCTTAGAGAAAGGGTGAAGACTTGGTTCATCCGGGTGGGGTTAGAGTAGAGCTGCTTCTCCTCCACATCTAAGGAAGTCAGCTGAGGTGGCTTGTACATCTTTTTTGGATTCCCCTGGGACACCTCCTTTGCTATGTGTACCAGGCACCTCCCACCGGAAGATGGCTTCCTTGGGTTCCCCCAGTAGAGCTCGAGGAGGTGTCTGCCGAGATCTCTCAGAGTCTCTACTGACTGCTGCTTACACGACATTGTACCGGATGAACCAGTATACAACGACATGTATCTTATCTGCTAACCTTTTTCTTGTTTTTATTTTTCCCTTTAGGCTCTGCTCTACAGCGTCACTGGCTATTGTTCCAACTCCTGATGCAGGTGTGGCTGGCCGCAAATCCATCCCTGAGTGACCGCCACTGCCCTAAGAGTTGTCGCTGTGATGGAAAAATTGTTTACTGTGAGTCAAGCGCCTTTCGTGATGTCCCCAAGAACCTCTCAGGAGGATGTGAGGGCCTGTCATTGCGGTATAACAGTCTCTCCAGTCTTCGTGCAGGCCAGTTTGTTGGCCTCAACCACCTTATCTGGCTCTACTTGGACCATAATTACATTGCCTCTGTGGATGCAATGGCTTTCCAGGGGGTCCGCAGGCTTAAAGAACTAATTCTTAGTTCCAACAAGATCACATCGCTTCAAAATACAACATTTCATCCTGTTCCTAATCTGCGGAATTTGGACTTGTCATACAATAAATTACAAGCATTGCAACCCGGGCAATTCCAAGGTTTACGGAAGCTTCTCAGCCTTCACATACGGTCTAATTCCCTAAAAACTCTGCCAATGCGTCTCTTTCAAGATTGTAGAAATCTTGAATTCCTTGATCTTGGTTACAACCGCCTGCGGAGTATCACTCGTAATGCACTTTCTGGCCTCGTCAAACTCACTGAGTTGCATCTGGAGCACAATCAGTTCTCCAAGATCAATTTCTCCCATTTTCCTAGACTCTACAATCTACGGGCTCTTTACCTGCAGTGGAATCGCATTCGGTCAATGAGCCAGGGCCTTACTTGGACCTGGGCCTCTGTCCAGAAACTGGATTTATCTGGAAATGAACTTACAGAAGTTGATCCTGTTGTTTACCAATGCTTACCGAACCTGCAATCTCTCAACCTGGACTCTAATAAGCTAACCAATGTTTCTCAGGAGGTTGTTGATGCTTGGATCTCCCTTACCATGATTAGTTTAGCAGGAAATGTTTGGGACTGTAGCCCTGCCATCTGTCCTCTGGTAGCTTGGCTCAGAAACTTTAGAGGGGCAAAAGAGACAACAATGATTTGTGCCTCTCCAAAGAAAGCCCAGGGAGAGAAAGTGATGGATGCAGTAGAAGCCTTTGGAGTTTGTCAATCAATTCAAGGGACAACACTCACAATGAGTGTTACTCCAAACCTATCCAGTGTCCCCATGCAGACAGAGCATAACCCATCTATTCTGGCTTTACCAACTAATTCTGGAAAGAGAGCTGATGGATCTCCTTGGGGTCCTACATCATTAGCAGTTACCCCACCTGTTGCACTTCCTCCAGAGCAAGACCTGGAGCCCGTATCATTCCATAAGATTGTGGCTGGAAGTGTTGCCCTGTTTCTGTCTGTTGCAATGATCCTGTTGGTAATATATGTGTCTTGGAAGCGCTACCCTAACAGCGTCAAACAGCTCCAGGAGCACTCTGCAGCAGCACGTAAGCGTCGCAAGAAACCTCGAGAGACAGAGCGCACACTTAGCTCCCCTCTGCAGGAGTACTATGTGGACTACAAGCCCAACAATTCTGAGGCCATGGATGTTCTGGTCAATGGTACAGGACCATGCACGTACACCATCTCAGGCTCCCGGGAATGCGAGGTATGACCTACACTATAATCCACAATAAAGAAGTTATTACAGGCAAATTACAAATGGAAAGAAATGACTTCTTGTATTTAGCTGGGTCTGTGAAAAGTTTCCTCAAATCTATCTTTGGAGGCCATATTTGTTTTATTACAGATTTGAAAGAAATATAGATAAATTGCATTTTTTTCAGAACTATATATGCTTAAGATTATGCTATTTTAAGTTGGTTTTGTTTCCTTGTATAGAGCTCACAAGCTGGTAGTCTGAGTTTGAATGCTTTTAAATAATAAGAATACATAAATAAATTTTTTTGACACTAGGGACTTTTGTTTGAAAGTGAGCTGTCACAACAACAGGTTGAGAGAGGGAGGAGGAGACATTCAGCAAGAGTCAATTGGTCAGGAATCAAACCCATGACGACCAAGGACTTATGGGTTAAACCCCTGTGCCACTGCTGCACCCTGTTTTTAATACTTTTTTAAAAACCATGATTTTGATAAAAAGCTAAAGGTTGGCATCCAGATGCTGGATGTGAATAACAGTGGAACCCTTTTTCTTCATATAATCGAGCTTCCTTGGAGAAAATGACTTCACACTTTTTCTTGACACAGCTATGACTCAAGATTGTTGAAAAGCTGTGCAGTCGCCCAACAGCATTGCCTGTTAGTGTCCCTTTCTTCTCTTTTATACTATAACTGTAGTTTCTCGCTTGTTTACCCACTTGCCTAATTGATAAGTCATGCATAAACTGAAATGAATACATTCTCTGGCCGTTGACACTTTATTTGCATTCATGAAGGTAAAGGAAAGATCATTTGTCACACATAGACAGAAACAGTCTTTGATAGTCCTTAAAGGGATGGGGATCCTTTGAAATGTTTTACGCACGCAGGCAAGTGAATTTCTTAAAAAAAAAGTATTTACACACCACATCAGTGCTGGAATAACACATGTCTATGCTTGCTTTTACTTATCCTTCTCTGGTGTATTTCACGTGCAGTAAAAGCATATTTTTTGTTCCAAAAAATGTACTTATGTTCTCCAGGTTACACATTGTTTTGTCACACAGTCACATTAGTATTGTGATTGTTGTATCCTTAACTGATTTAGCCTTTCCTGTTTTATTTTTGCATTCTATAATTTTGTTTAATCAGATGTGATGAAACGGGCAGATATCTAAAAAATGAGGAGAAATTTCAACCCCCAGAGTAATATTTACAGACAGACTTTTTAGAACTTAAGAGGGCAATTAATTTCCTTCTCTGATTTAAACTATGGTGTAAATTTAACTGTCTGGCTTTACCACATCTTCTCTTTTGTAGACATTCTTGAAAATACATCTTGTCCTGCCTTATCTGTCCTTCTCTCTCACCTTAAAAAAATGGTGGGATGGTAAGACAGGAGCTATCCATCAGCGGTCCGCAAACTCCTGAGTTCATCTCAGAATGTGCTCTGATCTTGTTTCTACATTTTGTTGCCATAGCAGAGACATAAATCACTGGACAGAACATGGCAGCGCTTGCAGCACTCTGTCCACCTTGCAGCTTCACTTCCACTTCTCAGACTTAGGGACATATCAGCAGATGTTCATTTATCCCTGAGCGGGAATCCCTTATTCCCCTGTTATCAGTTTTACAATTTTTTTATCCATCTGGATTTTGTGCCACAGTATAGAGAAACCTCTTCATGTTATTGTCTTTCCTTTCTCAATTCCACTTGCCTCTCTGTTTGACAACCCTTTTAGAGAAATATCTGACAATAGAGATATCCTCATTTTCCTTTCTCACCCCAATCAGAGCATAACCCACATCATGTCATTTGGATCTTCCTTTGATCTTTTTCATTGTAGATTCACTCCTGAGGGGCATCATGGACCTCACCTGATTAAATGTTTGATGTCACTTTTTTATGTGTCAGAACATCATCGTATGCCTGTTGGCGCTTCGTTTTTGAATGCATTGTGTAATCTGGCAACCCGATGTCATAGCATATGCAGTGTTGTCCCTGTATCTACATTTTTTCCTGCCCATAAGTTTTTTGAAATAGCAGTATTTTAAGCAAGTTACTCCTTATTTGTTGTTTTAACGAAACTGAATTATGATTCTTTAAAGTGAAATAAAAAGTGGCAATAGTTAATATATAGAACATAGAATTTGCTTTCTTTTTTATAAAGCTTCGGTGCTCATCTTATACTCTTTATTTGAGCTTTTCCGGTTATATATATAGGAGGAGCAGGTAGCAGAAAAAAGCAAAAGAAAATTAATTTTTCTGCCGCTTAAATTTGTTGAAATGTTTATAACTTTCCTGTGTTACATTTTTCTCATATGATTGCAATTTTTCAAGTAGAGTTTTTAGCAATTAATTTATCAATTTTATTATTTTTGCATTTATTATTATTTTTTTATTTTTTCTATGTAAAGAATAATTTGGTTCTATGCCATGCCACTATGTCAGTCATTGTAATCCTTCCTCTTCAAAGGAAGTTCTTTAATGCCCTCTTTCACTTTCTGATAGATTTCTGTTTACTCTTTAGCATCTTTTGATGATACTGCTGCAGAACTTTTAACCCCATTTAACCACAACCGCTTTTTTTGTTGTTTTTTTATGGAAGGAAAAATTGTTAAGTATCAAAGACTAATAAAGGTGTAAGTTCAGAGCCCTGGAAGTGACCAATTCGAGAACTGTTTTTGACATGATAAGTGAAAAAGCAAGAAGACAAAGAACATCCACTTTTTGGACTAGATGATTTTCCTATACACCATGTTCATACATAGAACTACTTGAATTAATGCCATGGTTTCCTGTTATTCACATGGTATCCCATAAACTGTACCAAACCAAGATATAAACCAGAGTAAACGATTAGCAGTTGGTACAATGAATAAATGAATTAACAAATGAATAAATGAATGGATGAATGAATGCTGTTTTCTGTCATTATATTTGCTTTGGTAATTATACCTATGTAATTCCCTATTTCTCTAGGATGAATAAGATGAAGTGACTAATGAACAAAGGAGAAAAAAAATCCAAACTATAGACCTTTAGCAAAGTTACTTTTGTTATTTTGAAACACTTTATTTTGCTGCTTATGTTTACATCTTGGAAAATAATTTAATTTGGATATATGCCTCTGTTCTTCATCTGAGGGAAAATAATGCAAATACAGACAATATGAAAATATTCTTTTACAAAATTCTTGGAATATGTTTGCAACCATAACTGGAAATGGCACTCTAACAGGATAAAAAAATAACAACGTAAAACCATCTTTACACCATTTACAAAATAACCTTATTTGTTGCCTTGGCCCTATAATTTTTAATTTCCGAAGCATAAATAAATAAAAATAAGATTCACACATCCCCAGGTAAAATAAAAATACGTCATTTAAAGTAAAAAAAAAACAATGATAAACTCCTGACTCTATTATAATGTTTTTCTTATACGGTATTTACACAATAACTTAAGTGTTTTCACAGAAATCCTATTATGCTTATTTGCTGTGTACCTTCTCTGAATTCATCGCCATGAATAATAAATAATGTTTTTCTTTCTTGAGGCTCGAATGCCTCTACCTTCTCTTTCAATACATTGAAGGGGGGGGGGTTGTTTTTCTTAATGTAATACAGGATATAAAAATTAGTTATACCATTATTTATTTTCCTAAAAGAGACAGAGACTTATTTGATGTTAACCAAATTAGAATGTCAAAAATGTTTAACATCCATCTCAATATGAATAGAAAAGCGTTCGCTGCCATACAATACACCTTATAACTGACAACAATTTAAACTATTTTAAATGTGCTGCTCAGACAATTCCCTAAGGCATTCCAGCCAGCCTAAGCTCCCTCCAGATTTTTTTTTATTAAGTCGTGAAGCCAACTAGGTTATGTAAGTTTTATACCTAGTTAGAAGAAAACCTGCTGATAAAATTAAAGTACTTCAAATCCTATTCTATAATAGGTTACCTACTACAATTTTAAACCTTAATGCATTAGAAATTACCAAAGATGTCTATACAAACTTGTAAACAATGCATAAAAGGTTTTCCTTTGATTTCTTCTACAAATATTGTGTCAGATTATTGACAACCCCAAATCAAAACAAACAGAGGGAATCTGGCGGAGGACAAAAAGGTATCTTTAATTCAGTGAAGAGGTTAAACTTGAACATGCTAGTGTCGACCATTCAACAAGTCTTTAAACACGCACCGTACAGACTGTGGGAAGACATCTCTCTTATCCCCTAATCCTGTCTGTTTCACACTTTCATTCCATGCTGCTGCTTTCTACACTGCTGTTTGATCCATGCTTAATGAGGGTGGAAGATCACTAATACAGCAATTACAGTACATTACCTGGAGAAGAGGCTAAAGTAATTCCTTTTCTGCATGTCATTCTATAGTGCAACCAATTCATATTGTTGAATGTTAGCTTTGTAAGTTACACAATCCCTATTTTTTTTATGGCTAGTGATTCTCTCCACAAACTTGTTGCATTTTTATATTTTTTATTTTTTTAATAGTGATTGTTGTCCTTTTTTGTTTCCTGATATTGTTAGCTGATTAAGTGCTGCACTTCTAAAGCCTTTAATATATTGATAAGGACAGTAGTTGAACATATTATACAAGCATATAAGCAGATAATTTAACACCCTTTGAGAGTGAGTAAGATGTGACGTACTTTATCACTCTTGAGCCACACCTCACATATGCACAAATGCAGCAATTAAAACCATATAATGACATTTATAGCCACCCATTCTTTTTAGCACCAATGCACAAAAGATTCTTATTTCCACTGGATATATATATATATACATATATATGCTTTTCATTAGAAGTATTTTTATGTTCTTAACAGTACATCTAGATCTAATATTTTTTTTATTACAGCTTTAGGAAATCCTTTGTTGCATTTTAAAAGTAACCAAGCACTACGCTGGATTATTGTTTATGTTAACCTAAGGCAAATGTTTGCACTTCCCAGAGCTGTGAATTTTTTTGCCTTCATTGGTTTTGACAGTATTTAAGTCAACACAGGAGGCAAATGTCCAAACAAGCAATCTGAGTTGAAGGGGAGTAAGACAGGTGGGATGCCAAACATCTGACAGGAAGGTCCATTCAACATGATTGAGTAGCTGACAAGGAAAAAGGAAAAGTACTTAAAATAAAAGAATAATCTGATGGTCATACAGCCTCATGTGAGGGCATGTCTGTCCAAAAAAATCCTTATCCATTCCAAACTTAATATTGAATTTTTGTTCATTGCAGAATCCTTTCATTTAAATTTGATAAGTTAAAATACTGC